CACACTTGAAATTATTAAACAAAATTCACGGCACCCCTATTATTATTATTTATTATTTTGCTTTTTACGGTTAGTAAAGATATGAAGGATGAGAAGACTTTGAAAAAAATAAAAGTTTTTTATTAAAGTAAGTTTATTTCCAAACAACACAAAAGCATTCAAAACAAAAGTTATTATTATAAAGGTATCTTTTAATTATTTATTTAATTTAATACTTTAATTCAATTATTTTAAGTAATTTTAATTTAATTATTTAAAAATTTCGCGGCACCCTTGTGGCGTTCTTGCGGCACCCGCTTTGAGAACCACTGCCTTAGGAGTATACAAAATGTGCATTTCCGGGAATCTTCAAAGCTCGTGCTATCTATAAATCAGTTGGCCGTATGTTACTTTATCTTTTCAGATTTCATTTTTAAAATATGAGATAGCCTAGATTTGAATTATCCAATTTTATACTAAAAAAATTTTTGGGTACTTTTTGGTTAGTGGATGCCAGCTGATAGGTATAGCAATGGGTAAGATTCAAGCTCTGAATGAGGGTTTCACACCACCCCAGAATTGTTGACTCTCTGTGAGATATTCCTCTCCAAAGATCAGTTATTAACCCATATCAGTCTACCGCCTTTTCTACATGCTTTGTATGTAAACATACACCTCAGTGCTCACTATTGCTCGCACTTCAGAGACCGGATGGGGTAAGCCCTTACCCCCTAAACCTATATAACATTAAGTACTTCATGAACAGTCAAGTGGTCTACTTGAAGCTGCGACAGTCGTGTGGGCTAAATTGTTAAATGTAATAGTTTTTCACAATAATCTTCTGGTGTCATGTTAACTAAAAAGAACCAATTTTTGTATTAATTATATTTTTGTAACACTAATTTAAATACAAATATCAAAGGAAACAATAGTAGGTTCAATTTATTCAATAATTCAAAATAATATTTACATGCAAAAAAATCTGCAATACAAATAATTTTTCATATTTAATAAAAAAAACAAATGTTTTATATTTGCACAATTACTTTGTTTTGATTTTATTTTAAATTTAAAATTTGGAAATGTTATTTATATTCTGAAAATATAGTCAAATCTTTTAAATTTGGACATAAGAAGAAATCCAAGAAACTTTATCTATTTTGAAAGATAAACTAGTTTTCTAAGGTTTTTGGTAAACTAGTATCAAAAAGCATTTCATGTTTTTTGATATCACATTTTCTTTTCCGTTTTTTTTTTAATTGTTTAAATATTTTTAGTTAATATAAACTTTGGTATGTTTCATTCTTAAACACCATAAAAATACAACTGAATAAAATTTTTATTTACACTTACATCACTAAAACTGAAATACGTGACAGTTTTGCCCATGCCTTAGGACAGTGTTTCTCAAACTTTTTTGTCAGGTGGCACACTTGAAATTATTAACCCTTAACTGGTTTCGTAAATTTTACAATCATAACTGGTATCATGGGGGCTGCGCAGCCCCCAAGCAAAATTTGCCTTTAGAGAGCAAGTCTTTTAATTTTATATTTTAGATAATTGAAATATGTTTGTTTTCTTAAACAGTAAAATCTGTTTATTGTAATCACTTTGGGGCTTGTCTATACTGATGGTAACTGATCAATAAGTGAAATAAGTAAATAAGACTAAAATTAGTGGAAATTCTGGTTTTATTGACTCTGATATTAAAACGACATATTAAAACAATAACAAAATGTATAACTTGCAGATTTATTAATTATAATTATTGATTAATAGTAACTCATCCAGTGTTGTCTGCCTATGTTTTTTGCAGTATCATATTTTGTGAAGCTAGTATATAATTGAAGTGATTCTAATAATTTAAACTGATGTACTGTTAGCAATTAACTATTAATGTTTAACATTTATATCATTAAATAAGACTGATAATGATTGTATGTTATCAATTACATATTGAGGTCTGTAGTATGAAAAATGTAATTACCTGAAGCTAATTTAGCTGAATTCTGATTAAAATAAGCAAACTTTCATAAGTGTATTTTAACTTATATGTTTTAGGACAGGCTAACTCTGATAATGCTAAGGGACTGGTAATAATACACATGATTTACACTGAGTGGCTTTTACTGAATACAGTTTTAAAATAATAAATTATATATTTCAGATTTAATTTAGATTATTATATTGTGTACATTCTTGTTTTTAAAAAATATTTTTAGATTGTAAAATTTAAAATAATAAATTATATTCTTGAGAATTAATTTAGATTATTATATTGTGTACATTCTTGTTTTTAAAAAATATTTTTAGATTGAAGACTTTTGCANTTAGAGCATATTTTTCTGATCTTCATGAATTTAAAAATACATTGTACAGTAGAACCTCGATTATCTGGACTAATTGAGGATGAAGGTAGTCCTGATAAGGAAAAATTCGGATAATCGAAACAAATACTTTAATTTGTCTTTTAATGATAATACAACACGTTTTCTTTTCAATGACATATCGGTAATATTAAAAATAAATACTGTATTTAAATTGTGATCAAATTTTCAAGAAACAAATGTTTGTATTGAATTTACACTACTAATGACCAGCACTAACAGACTACCTATTGTTTAAAAGGCCCTCTAGTGGCACAAGAAGATGGATTTTATAAAATAAAAAGCAGTTGAAACTGCATTTTTATGAATAAAAATTTGACAAACTATCATTTTATGACGAGTAAACTTTTTCGTTGCGTTTGCGGCTTTTAAGTAATCCATAAACCTTCAAGGTGTGAGGCCCTTTGGACCGCGAGGCATAGGCGGTGGCCCACATCGTCCATGCCTTACGCCACCCTTGGTCATAGAAATGACGTAATTTGAATATAAATTATTTATAAATACGTATGTCAAGTTATATTTTTATTACGACATAAAATATATTTAAGAGTTTACGACCACTGTGCTGGGTGAGACGTTGTTGAAACAAAAAAAGTTATGCATTCCATCACATACATAAACAGTGTCATAATTCGCCAAGTGCAAATCAGCAAATTCATAAAATTTTTATTTTGAACAATCCAGATAATCAAAAATACAGATAATAGAGGTCCGGATAATCAAGGTTCTACTGTACTTGAAATTTTTAAGTGCAAAATTTAGGTTATGATATAAACAGAGATTTCAGAATTTATCTGTTGTTTCTGAAATAGATTTGGTCAGGTTTATCAGCTTGTTTATATTTTCAATTAATATTAGTGCACTCAAAGTAACAAAGTATAGATCTTAGATTTTTGTATTTGTTTTTAACTATTTGAAGAATATTTCTTTTTTGTATTTATTAAAAAAATAATTTAAAAATAGATTTTCTTACATTGATACTTTTAAACATCTTGCAGTTTTATAGTTGTGAATTATAAATTTGAAAAAGGTTTTTATCTATAGTTGTCTTTATTTATACAGCTTTTTGCAATTTATTTTTCTTGCTTCATATGAATCATATATTTGGTTTTAGAAGTGAATATTTGCTTTTATCTTAGTTTTTCTTTTTTTTATAATAGATTATTCCTGTTATGATAAAATAAAATTTTTTAAAATTGTTTTATAATTTTCTTGGTAATGAAAAAATTATTAGTGCTGATGATTTTAGAATATTTACATTTACATAGTACATTAGAATAGTACATTTACAATATACATATGATTATAGTTCTATATCTGAATTAAATAATATAAATAAACTAATTAATTCAGAGTATAAATTAATGTTAATAATTTATTAACATTACTCAATTACTTAGAGAATTTAATTCCTAGACTAAGCTATAAAGTATAGAAAAAAAGGTATTCTTAGATTATTATTATTATTATACTGAATAAACTTATTGCAGGTTTCAGAATTATATTGTTTTGGAAAATGCAGAAAAAAATATATCCAATCATAAATATGTTTAAAACATCAGATATAAATTTTAATAAAATATAAAGTTCTTGTGAAAATATTAATTTATGAAATGCATATTATACATAAAGTAGAATTTTAACTGTATTTGTTAAAATTGATTATATCGATAATTTGATTATATATTTATTTATAATTTAAATTTTAAACTGCAGTTGCTTAATAATCTTGCTTTTTTGAGCTGATATTGCATTCTCTTTTAATTTTATATTTTAGATAATTGAAATATGTTTGTTTTCTTAAACAGTAAAATCTGTTTATTGTAATCACTTTGGGGCTTGTCTATACTGATGGTAACTGATCAATAAGTGAAATAAGTAAATAAGACTAAAATTAGTGGAAATTCTGGTTTTATTGACTCTGATATTAAAACGACATATTAAAACAATAACAAAATGTATAACTTGCAGATTTATTAATTATAATTATTGATTAATAGTAACTCATCCAGTGTTGTCTGCCTATGTTTTTTGCAGTATCATATTTTGTGAAGCTAGTATATAATTGAAGTGATTCTAATAATTTAAACTGATGTACTGTTAGCAATTAACTATTAATGTTTAACATTTATATCATTAAATAAGACTGATAATGATTGTATGTTATCAATTACATATTGAGGTCTGTAGTATGAAAAATGTAATTACCTGAAGCTAATTTAGCTGAATTCTGATTAAAATAAGCAAACTTTCATAAGTGTATTTTAACTTATATGTTTTAGGACAGGCTAACTCTGATAATGCTAAGGGACTGGTAATAATACACATGATTTACACTGAGTGGCTTTTACTGAATACAGTTTTAAAATAATAAATTATATATTTCAGATGTGTTTATTTTAATATTTTCTTCTTATAGAATTATTTAAATTTATTTGTTAAAATTGTCAAATAGAATATCATGTAGTTAAAGGTTAATAAGAAAATATGATCAAAGTATTTAACTTATTTAGATAAACTATATTATTTGTAACTATTATATGGATACTAAACTATATTTGAAATTAAAATATATAAAACTATTTTTTTTAAATGAAATATTTAATATTAATAAAATAATTATTGACTGTTTAGATTGTGAAGATGATATGGAGGCATCAAGGAAAACTATTATTGGGCAAACTACTAATATTGCAGAATTAATAAAGGTAATATTTATTGTTAGAATGTGAATTTAGATTTTAGAATTTATGAATGTTAAAATTAAATGACATTTTCAAATTTTTATTCTTCTATATTAAACTTTGACTTTTTAAATGCTACAAAAAGGATAAACTAACCACTGTGGTTACTCAGCTGAATTAATCAATGCACCTTTTAACAGTGGATGAAGTTTTAATAATGCTAATGTTTCCAACCTGGTTAATGTACCATCTTTAGGCATGGACATAGAAACTGAAATCAAGATTCCATTTTCAACTGCCCATACTTGAAAGATGCAATTAGCTGTTAATGGTGTAGTGATTAATTTAGTTGCACAAACAATTCATACAGACAAAATATTTTAAGATTTTGTACAAATAAAACTGGTAAATTCAATAAAAAAAGTGGTGTAATATATTGCTTGAAAAATGCTTAAATACATTTACAGTTTTTGATTACTCATTTTAAATCTATTTTTAAATATTATGTCAACTCTTGAAAAATATATAAACAGGTGTGTTATTTGATATAAAAAATTTATTAGAAAGTTCTTCCTTTTATAGAAATCAATTTATTTATTTTTTGTTGTTTGGGAATGTTTCACATTTCATCTAATGAAAGTATACCATATATATATATATATATAGTGTATATATGTACAATAACACTTTCTCATATTATCTGTCACATTAAAATGGTAAAACAGATGTTTAAACAAATGTTTTTATATATATAAAATAGTAGTTACATTTATGATTTTTAAAGTTGGAACTTGAAGCACAATTTAAATTCAAAAATATTTAAGAAAATAAATTAAAATATTTCTATAAAAAGATGTTTTTAAAAACTGTCAAAGTAAAATTTAAAATGATATAATTTTAAATAATATATATTGTAATAATTTTTAATTCTTTTAAATTAAAAATATTATTAAATAATGAAATTGTTTTTAGAAGAATAACTACTAGTGCTGTTATTTTTTATTTCAATATAATTAAAAAAAATATAGTATTATTAGTGTTTTATTCATATTGATGTAGCTTTTAATGGAAATCAATAAAATTTTTTATGTTCTTAGAACATTATAGTGTACATTATTAAATTTTCAATTCAAACTAATTATAAAAAAATAACCATGGAAACATATAAATGAGTAATTAATTAATTAACAAATTAATTAATTAAAAAACCTTAATATGTTTTTTCGTTTGGTTTTTAAGTCTTATATATCAGTTGTGAAAATTTATTATTATACATTTTGCAAGTTGAATAATTTTTATTTATTTGTTAATACTGTAATTGTTTTCATTTATATTTTATTTTCAGTTTTATTTAAGTTGTGTGTAGTTTTTATTCTTTTGTTTTATATTTACATGCAAAAAAATCTGCAATACAAATAATTTTTCATATTTAATAAAAAAAACAAATGTTTTATATTTGCACAATTACTTTGTTTTGATTTTATTTTAAATTTAAAATTTGGAAATGTTATTTATATTCTGAAAATATAGTCAAATCTTTTAAATTTGGACATAAGAAGAAATCCAAGAAACTTTATCTATTTTGAAAGATAAACTAGTTTTCTAAGGTTTTTGGTAAACTAGTATCAAAAAGCATTTCATGTTTTTTGATATCACATTTTCTTTTCCGTTTTTTTTTTAATTGTTTAAATATTTTTAGTTAATATAAACTTTGGTATGTTTCATTCTTAAACACCATAAAAATACAACTGAATAAAATTTTTATTTACACTTACATCACTAAAACTGAAATACATGACAGTTTTGCCCATGCCTTAGGACAGTGTTTCTCAAACTTTTTTGTCAGGTGGCACACTTGAAATTATTAAACAAAATTCACGGCACCCCTATTATTATTATTTATTATTTTGCTTTTTACGGTTAGTAAAGATATGAAGGATGAGAAGACTTTGAAAAAAATAAAAGTTTTTTATTAAAGTAAGTTTATTTCCAAACAACACAAAAGCATTCAAAACAAAAGTTATTATTATAAAGGTATCTTTTAATTATTTATTTAATTTAATACTTTAATTCAATTATTTTAAGTAATTTTAATTTAATTATTTAAAAATTTCGCGGCACCCTTGTGGCGTTCTTGCGGCACCCGCTTTGAGAACCACTGCCTTAGGAGTATACAAAATGTGCATTTCCGGGAATCTTCAAAGCTCGTGCTATCTATAAATCAGTTGGCCGTATGTTACTTTATCTTTTCAGATTTCATTTTTAAAATATGAGATAGCCTAGATTTGAATTATCCAATTTTATACTAAAAAAATTTTTGGGTACTTTTTGGTTAGTGGATGCCAGCTGATAGGTATAGCAATGGGTAAGATTCAAGCTCTGAATGAGGGTTTCACACCACCCCAGAATTGTTGACTCTCTGTGAGATATTCCTCTCCAAAGATCAGTTATTAACCCATATCAGTCTACCGCCTTTTCTACATGCTTTGTATGTAAACATACACCTCAGTGCTCACTATTGCTCGCACTTCAGAGACCGGATGGGGTAAGCCCTTACCCCCTAAACCTATATAACATTAAGTACTTCATGAACAGTCAAGTGGTCTACTTGAAGCTGCGACAGTTGTGTGGGCTAAATTGTTAAATGTAATAGTTTTTCACAATAATCTTATGGTGTCATGTTAACTAAAAAGAACCAATTTTTGTATTAATTATATTTTTGTAACACTAATTTAAATACAAATATCAAAGGAAACAATAGTAGGTTCAATTTATTCAATAATTCAAAATAATCAAGTTTGAATTCAGAGTCAACTATATTTATAATGTACTAGTTACTGTAGTTGGCAATGTTGTTATCTTAAACAATTGAATTAGTTTGAAAACTTTGCATGATTTTTTAAACATTGATATATGTGGTAGTTGGAGACTATAAAACATTGAATAATTGCTTCCTTTAGTGTCATAGATTTCATTGTTTTTCTTTCAATCTTCTCTTAATAAAATAAATTTTGTTTAATTTGTGTCTTTGTATATACTTGTCTCATTGTATTTTACAGAAATATTTTCCAAAGTTAAAATATCTCTATCATGTCAAATGATGATGATAGTAATTTTAGTATAGCAATCAGGAATAAAACAGTTTAAAATGATATATTTCAAGAGTTATTAATTATATTTTAAAGAAACATTAAATGCAAAAGTAAATAGGGAAATAATGATAATAAGATTGTTTAAGTAAATACTGTACTTTCACAATATTTGTGAAAGTACAGTATTTACTTTCACAAATACTTTCACAATACTTTAGGTTTTATGTTGGAAGCAATAAACTAAAATGATTTGTTTGATAAAATGAACTCTTACAGTTATTTGAAAGAAATTTGTAGGCTTTTGTGAATTTGTCTACAAATATGATAATACGGGTTCATAAGAAAGTACATATAGTAAAAAAAAAAATAAGTTTTCCAGAAAATGTTGAGAGAAAAGATGAAATTTTACAGTACAGGTATCCCTCGTACAACATGGTTTTGCTCTAACACGGTTTTGGAAATCTATACAAAATTTCACAAGTTTTAAGTGTAAACTTTGGTATTCAGTATTTTTTTATTCAAGTAAGCATGTGTGTTGTCTCAAATTTGCCCATGGATTTTAGAATATTGAAATTTTCAATTTGTTTTGTGCCTTTTGTCAGGTTTAATTTAATGAAAACTGATAGGAAAACTAGGATAAGGAAGGAAAAAATGTTCTATCAATCAGGTGTTGTCATTGTTGCTTTCAGACTTTAGCCTGTAAGATTGTCACTAGGTTTTCTTTTTATAGATTAATCTTTGTATTTAGTAAAGTTTATTTAAACATTTTTAGGTAAGTGTTATTAACTTTTTTTAACCATAAGTAAGTAATTATTCGTAAAAATGACTAATGAAATACAGCAGTATCTCAGTACTAGAACTGCTTCCAACTTGAAAAATTCAGTATTTGAGCACAAATTGCAGAAAAAAATCACTCAATACTCGACTGAACAAACGCGACTTACTAAAAAGAATTTTTGATTAATAACATGTTTTATTATGGCATCCATAGAAAATTATAATACAAATCAGTCAGCATTTGATTTGCATTTGTTCTTGATAAAAGTCATTAAAGATGACTGAAAACGTTTGAAATTGTTAATAAATTTGGCTGCAGTTTATAAGGTATTTGAGTAGTATATCCTTGTTATGATATGCAGTCTACGAAGAGATAGAAAATTATGATAAAAATAAAACAAATGAAGACATTGCTGATATTTCTGATCAAGTTCAACAAAATAGCTCAGATGACGACAATACTTTGAAAAAAGAAAACACCTTCATTTAACTAAAATTAATATTAATAGTACTTTTAATTGTGCTTGTTATTTTAATTGTGCAATTGATTGGAAATAAATTATTGATTGCTTTTATAAACATATTTCTCTTAGTAATGAAAAAGAATAATATACTTTTGTTAACTTCAGGAATGCAACCTTATGTTTTGTATTTATCCTTTGTCTCGTATAGCAAGGATTCGTATGGCATGGCACTTTTTCAGAACATATCTACTGTGTTATATGAGGATTACCTGTACTACCAATTGAAACACAAACATCTCTGTTCAATCTGAGCAAAGCCTTTATAATGTCAAAATCAAACTTATAAATAAACAAAATTTTGTGTTTTATTTATTAGATTAATACTTTTAGAATGTCAATAATAAAATGTTAAAAATTGTCATTTTAAGTAAAAGTATTGAAAAAACTAATGATTGAATCTTGAATTACTGAAATATTTAAAATATAAAGTATTTACTTGTTTTACTGGTTAATTTAATGCCATTTTCTTGGCTTCATTTGTTCATCAGATCTATCAGATTTTTAGTACAGTACAGTCCCAAAAACTTGGCCTAATGTGGACTGAAGGGTGGCCAAGTTTATGAAAATGTTGAGTTATCGGGAATGGGGTTAAAAAAATAAGTAAGAGTATGGAGTCCTCAGAAAATACTGTACTGTACTTGTATGTATTGTTTACTTGAGAATACAACAAAGAATAAACTGCCCAAATACCCTTAAACAAAGGAAAAGTACATACTTTATGAAGGCATAGAACTATTACTACATGAAAATGAAAATTAATGAATACACAGTGTACAGTAATTTACCAGATAAGACAGACCTTAGAAAAATACTTTATGAAACATAAATCTGTCTATAATGAAAATGAACCAGGGGTTTTTTCGTCCTGCCAGTGTGTGGCCGAGTTATCCGGACTGCCAGGTTATCGAGTGCCGAGTGTTCGGGTCTCTACTGTATCAACATATCATTGGCTCAAAAAGTCTGATAAAATATGGAATTAATTTATTAGAATTTATTGTTTGCATATTTTTGTCATGTAAACAAAATAAAATTTAAGAATTTTTTGGTTTAAGATTGAATATTTTGTTATATTTATATTTTCCTTAGAATACTAAATAGATATGATACAGGTTATTCAGAATGTTCCACATTATAGTTTTTATTTAGTATAAATTTAATTGCTTTTATTCTGATTTCAATAGACATAAGAATACTTTGCTAATTTTACTTTTTAAAAAAATGGAAAAAAAAAAAACATAAGGATGATGATGTGCAAGATAAGATAATAAAATTGACTATTTATAAATTATTATAAAGCATAATATTAATCACTTAAAATAATTGAAACATAAAATACTGAAAAACTAAAATGTAAATATGAAATTATAATTAAATTTCAAATCTTTTTATTTAGTTTAATGACATTTGTTATGAATAAATGTACAATTATTTGGAGTTTTTGTTTTATCCTTGCATATTTGACAAATTATACAAATTTTATTATTCATTTTGGTAGTATACATGAAGTATAAATCCCTGTTAAAATTATTTAAATTTTTAAAAATACAAACAGCAAATTAAAAAGCAAAATATAACATAGTTTGTTCTTTGTTAAAAATGCTCAGAACTCACAAATTTGTTCTGTTTTTATTTCTGTTAAGTCAATGAACTAAAAACATTGAAAATAAAAATGTTAAAATGTTATTTTATATAAATGTTTTTATATTATATATTATCATATTAACAGTATTATAAATGAATCTTCTGAATACATAAAATGTTAAAAATTCAATCACTTTAATACTTAAATTAGTTGGTATATTTTGCAAGTTATATAAATGGCTATCCAGCTAAATTATTTGTAGTATCTTCACAAATGGTTTATTACTTTAAGTTAAATAAAATTATTTAAAATAAATAGTAAAAATTATTAACATTTAAAAAATAAATTTATTATTTCATGATGATTTATTACAGAGACAAACAGAATTAGAAGAAATATTAGAAAATCGAGAGAAAAGAGTTCTAGACTTGAGTAAAGAAGCTGCTGAACTGCATGATTCCAATAGTTTTCTTGAAAGGTACTATAATTGATTCTTTTAAAAACAAATTTAGTTAATTACAGTAGATCCCCCTATAAAACCGTTTCCTATAGTTATGATTCCTATAAAAATTGTGGCAGTATCCGTAAACAACGGTAAAAATAACTCCTATAATACGTAAAACGTTATCAGGCAGCCGAACTACTTTCCCGCCGTCCGTAGCGCCACGCTACGGATGTTTAGGCGGATAAATTGAGTTTAGTATCGTCTGTTCATATAATTATATATAAATTAGGTACTGTACATATAATTATATATTAATTATATATAAATTAGGTACTGTATATATAATTATATATTAACTTAATTTATTGTAACTTTATTATAATTAAATATATATTTTTCGCCGTCTAGCGTCACGCTACGGCGAGTTAGGCGACCTATCGTCTGTCCAGTACTGTAATTTTATACATTTCTTGTGAAAGAAACATTTCTTATTTAACGGCCATAAAAATTATTTATATTAAGGATGTCTCCAAAGGTCAACGAAGTTTTCGCAGAAAAATAATATCAGAAATCGCGGCCGCGGTTTGATGCGCTGTTCCGCGACGAAACCAAGCTTTAGCAACGGGCGTAGTCGAACGGTACACACTCGGTAAGCAATCCTACAATTTTTTGTTTATAACGTAGTTTATACGGATTATTTTCAAAAAAATATACGTATTTTGGAAATGTTGAGTCGAATTAGTCTAGAATCGATTAATTTTATGAAAGAAAACCTTTCAAACAGCCGTAGTCCGTAAACTATGATTCCTACAAAATTGATTCATAAAGAACGGAACGTATCTATCGTCTTATAGGGGGATCTACTGTAGTTATTTTGGGAGTTTAGTGTGTAAAAATTGTAAACATATATAAATTTAGTATTCAATAATTTATGTTTATAAAACACCCCTTATTGGACTGGAATGATATAGTAATATTTTGCTCAAAAGCCTTAAATTATTTTCCAGTAACAGTTAATTTGAAACAATTTTTTCTGCTTAAATCAAACAGTCTGTTCGATTTAAGCATTTTGTCAGTGAATACAGAATCAAGACCTGAAGATTATCTCCAATTGAAGATCAAAAACATTAGTCAAAAAAACTGTTTCAAATTATATTTTTGATCTTCAATTAGAGATAATCTTCGGGTCTTGATTCTGTATTCATTGACGAAATGCTTAAATCGAATAGATTGTTTGATTTAAGCAGAAAAAATTGTTTCAAATTAACTGTTACTGGAAAATAATTTAAGGCTTTTGAGTGAAGTATTATTATATATGTTTAATCTTCATATGTACTATATGTATGGATATTATACATATCTGTGAACTTCATACTAAATTTTGCTTATGTAATCATTATTTATCATATACATTAGAACCTCACTAATTTAGATTAATTGGGAAAAACCCAAATTGGTGAGGTGTTTACTTGAATATGTATTGTATGGTCCAAAAAGTACACTTTAAATAAAGTCAAATTTTATTGTATACAGTCGACCTCATAACACGGTAGATACGTTCCGCTTTATAAGAATTTTGCATTGTAGGAATCCTCAAATACGTGAGCCAATCACAGCCAGTGACGTGTGCAGTTTACAGACTATGACTGTTTGAAAGGTTTTCTTCTATAAAATTAATTGATTCTAGACTAATTTGACTCAACATTTCCAAATTACGTATAATTTTTTGGGAATAATCCGTATAAACTATGTTATAAACGAAAAATTATAGGATTACTTACTGAGTGTGCACCGTTCGACGATGCCATTGCTTAAGCTTGTTTTCATCGTGGAGCAGCGCATCAAACATTGTGCACTTGTTTCCTGATAAGTTATTTTTCTGCAAAAAATTCGCTGAACTTTGAAGACATCATTAATATAAATTTAATTTTTATGGACGTTAAATAATAAATGGTTTTTAGTAGGTCTACTGCTTGGTTTAGTAGGTCTACTGGTTTGTGCAATATTTGCTATTGGTCTAGATTCGACCAATCCTGTCATGACATGAGTCGGCGATGACATTTTACCATATTATACGAGTCTTTTTAGTATGTTTATATGAATACGATCGCAATTCTTTTGCTGTTTTATACAAATTTGTGTTACAGGGGGTCTACTGTATTTTTATGACTTGTAAAATTGAAAATTCATGTTTATAAAACAAGAGATGACTTATAAGAAAAGATTTTAATATAATTAAATGAAAATTTATGGTCTGATAAATAGTGTAGAAATTTGAAATATATTTAAAATCAAATTTGAGAAAATGAAGAATAAGCTGTTTTTAGTTAAAGAAGTATGAATAGTAATTAATACTTTTTATGTAAAAAACAACTATAAAGAATTTAATTTTAGTTGATTAATTTTTTAGAATAAACTATTTTTAGCTTTCATTCACTATGCAAAATTCATTATCTCAAGGAAATATTATTTAGGATAGAATTTTTTATCAATAAATAAAGTTTAAGATAATTAGTCAAAACTTATATTGACTGAACATGAAGTAAAATGAATATCAAAATAAAGTAATTAATTTAAACTAAATTCTTAAGGAATTATTTAAATCCAAGCTACAAAACAACTATTATGATATTTTATAAGAATAAATTTATGAATTATTTTTCATTATACATTTTTTATATTTATTACATATTTATTTTTAAAATATAGATTAATAAATATTTTTAAAATATTTATTAATGTGACACCTGTATTAAATAATTTTATGTTTACCTTAATTAAATTATATTTCAAATTAAATGGGTAAAAAGCAATGATTCTGCATTTGTAATTATTAATTCATAGTCATTATTAAATACTTTCTGTGATTTAAGTATTAAATGGCAATTTATCCAGATTGATTCTGTTAATATTGAATTTTAAAATTTAGTTAGTTATTAATGGAGTTTTATTTTAAATAGAGAAGTTAAACGTTTAGAAGAACTAAGAAATAAAGATAGTCGTCATACTTCAGAATTAACTCAAGAATTTACACACAGACTTGCTCAGTTGGAAAACAAATTGTCAGAAGCAAGCAAGGTATTTTCATTATTTTACACACAAAAAATTACTTTTTAATTTTTTGCATTTATATTAATATTAATTTATTTGAATTACTTCAATGGAAACACAATTAATACTTTTATCAATAAAATATAAAAATTAAGATTATTAAATTTTATTGACTTGAACATTGTAATAACTCTTAACTACATACATTCTTAAATAAATAAAATTATTCAAAATATAATTTGATAATGAAGATGTATGTTAATAAATAAAATTGTATTAATTGTCTTTAAATATTAAAAATTCTCTAAATATCTACTATATAAAGCTGAAAAACTGGATTCTTTCTTTTTTTCTGTCACTGTATGCCAAAAATGGCCACTAGGGGCACCTCAGCTATTATTTAATTTAACAATAAATTCAGTATATTATTATTTCATGCAGTTTTTTTGCATTTTTGGCTGCATTTTAGTAGGATATGCCATGAGAAATTCAGATTATTATTATTTTTATTTGTAATAGGAATTTATTATTTATACCAAGGAATGACACTGCTGCTGCTAGAACGCCCACTATGGGGTGTCCTGGGCTACTAGAATAGAAGGATTGGAAGTACAAAATAATCTAATAATCTTAATCTTTGTTGTTATTTTTTGCCTGGGCAACACCGGGCTCATCTGCTGGTTAAAAATAAAAATTATTAGTCAAAAACAGAGTATATATAATTAACACAAACAATTAATTGATGATTTATGTGAAACAGTTATTTTTGCAAAAGTAATCAAATCAAAACTATCATGTGTTATTGGCTCCAGCTCCAATTTCAAATTCAAAAATGAGAATATGAAAATTAATTTTTTTTATGATAGTATAATTGATTACTGTAGGGTATTGAACTTTCTCTCTGCTTTTATTGTGGATATTTATTCTTATTGGGCTGCAACTTTCAAATTGTAAACCTGTAGATTCTCACTGTTGTCTATCTGTCCTTCTGTAATCTTGAGAACAGAGTTACATGAAAATAGAGACTAGATATGGAAAGCTTACAGGCCAGAGGTTCTGATTACCTATATACCAAATTTTCTGGACCAGAAGTCATGTGATTTTTTTTTTGTTTTAAAATAGGATTAAAGATTGCAAACTGGCATTGCACTATCATAATAAGTAATATTCATTTAGTATAAATTCCTTTTAATGATACCATGCTAAATAAATAAAGATAAACTTTATCCATGATAGATATAAAATATTTTTAAATTTGTTTTTAGTCATATCTTTTGAATAATGCACATAAATATATTTTGTCAAAGGAACTGAATAAATTAAGTACACAACGTGAAGCTTATCATTTGATATAAAATAATAATATGAAGTAGCAAAAAGATTATTTTTAGAATCTTATAATTTAAATGAAAAATATGATTATTTTTAATATATTTGTAACTAAGAGTGTTTAATAATTTTTTGCTAAACTTTATGTAGGGAAATTTAAAGGTTTATTGTAAAGAATAGATTTGATTTTTTTTCATCTGTAGAAATGTGGCACTGCTAAGTTATAATTTCAAATTTTACTTGACTAAGTTATAATTTAACNACCATCGCATTAAATTAATTATTAAACATAATTTAAAATAAAATTATACTGAAAAAACTAATTTTGTTGTTTTTTTAATTACCTTATTAAAAATGCTTTTTTCAATTGTATCGGGGTCGCGGGTCACTTGGCTTTATAAAAAGGGGTCGCCACCCGAAAAAGGTTGGGAATCGTTGACTTATAGGTTTATCTCATTTAATACAGAATTTCCAGTGAATTGGAGCTCAATAATTGGAATTGTACTATACTTATAAAATATATATTATAATTATTTTATCATAAATTTATTCAAAAACAATCTTTATGAAACCTGTTAAAAATGGACATTATATCACATTATGTGTCCCTATATTGAATTTCCTTAATATTTTCCATTTGTGGCAGGGTGTGCTAGTTAAATCATACCATTTTGTGTCTACATAAGAAAAATACTCTGTAACTTAATTCTGTAACTTAAAAACTGTTTTTTAAAATTTATATTATTTAAAATAATTTTTAACAATTAATTGAAATTAAACAAGCTATTTATTATATAAATTTGTTTTTAGTCAGGAGCATATGTAAGCATGCATTTTGTTACTACAAGAGTAAGCTTTAAAAGTCAAAGATCAAGTAGCAATTTGTAAAAAAAAAAACTTGTTTTATCTACATTGTATATGTCATCTTGATTATGCTTCTGTACAAGTTTCTTCAACATTTTATCTTTCCATTAGCAAACTATTGCAGGATTTACAGATTTCCATAGCATTTTTTGAACAGTTTTCAGAATTCTGTAGCCAACCATTAGAAGCTTTGAATATGTTGTAGATACTGAATTCTTCTGCAAATGTCTGTGCTTTTGTTTTTGACACATTCCTGTCATTTGAAATGCTCTTAGAGTTCATATTCATTAACCATTTCTTTAGATGACACTTTTCTAACAGCATGTATTCCATCTTCTCTGTTTCATATTGTTGGGCTGCACACCTGATATGTTTACTTTCACTAAGACATCTTTATTCTTTAATATTTCAAAAAGCACTGTATTTACAATAGTTAACATTTTAATGATTTTGGATTTTGGAACTTGTCTCTCTCTTCTCAACACTTTCTAAAATCTTCGTTTTTGATCTTTGTATTAGTCTAGTTTTTAAAATGTTTTTTTAATGTACTTTTCAAAAAAGGAAAACATTAACTTTTTAAATAAAAAAAAGCTTACTTTTCTCATTTGGATCTTGTACAATTACTTCCCTTATCTTATCTTTCCTTAAGTCACTACTACTGTAAAAATATATAAATAAAACAGTTTTGAGATTTTATTAGTTTTTTTATTAAAAATGAGAATATATATGATGATTTAAAATTTATTATTTGTTTTATCTTTAGGAGAAAAACTGTCTAAACAACAGCTTCAGCATACATCATTAATTAAGAAGCTTAGAACTAAGGACAAGGAAAGAGAAAATCTGTTGAAAACTCAAAAGTAAATTAAAAATAAATAAATAACTTTTATTAGTATTAATAAAAATTTAATATGAATATCATTAATATAAACATTATTACATATAAAAATTATATAAAAATATAAAAAATTACATAAATCATCTAAAAGTAATTGTTTAGATTTTTACAATCTGAAGAAAAATTTTATTCATAAATTCAATTTTAAAGTTATGGCATTATACAATTTTTTTACAAATAAAACCATTGATATAGTATTTCAGTAAATGTAATAATTTATTTTAAGAGGTTTTTATATATTAATATTTATTTTAATTCTTAATCATATTGTAATCACAAAACAAATACATGATGGAGGCAGAATTACAGTCTGTTTCAAACAAGTTGTTACTTAATGATGGGCACTAATTTCATAAAAGTAGTTTACTATTTAAACTATTCAGAAGTAGGAAAACAAAAAATTAGACTGAATTAAAATAACAGTTTTTTTTTCATTTTATCCTTATTATTTAACACTTTTATTTCTTTCTTTGCAGACACACTAAGGTGACATATATCAACACTTGGCAACTTATTGACTATTTATTCAGTTGGTCAATAACTGAATAAATTTTATTCATAAATTCAATTTTAAAGTTATGGCATTATACAATTTTTTTACAAATAAAACCATTGATATAGTATTTCAGTAAATGTAATAATTTATTTTAAGAGGTTTTTATATATTAATATTTATTTTAATTCTTAATCATATTGTAATCACAAAACAAATACATGATGGAGGCAGAATTACAGTCTAAAACGTGATCTACAAAAATACAACAAAAGGAAAAAGAACGTTGTTATCCAAGTTGTAAAAACCAACTGAATAAATAGTCAATAAGTTGCCAAGTGTTGATATATGTCACCTTAGTGTGTCTGCAAAGAAACAGCTTAATAACAACAACACGGTTTCATCAGAATCAAACTTTTATTTCTTCTTTTAAATGATGTCTTAACAATACAAGTTTTTCAAATTTGATGATGATAATACAAGTTTTTTCAAATTTTTCATTTGACATTCTTCATTATCTAAGTTTTAAAATTTGTTCCAATAAGAAAATCAGGCATTCCATTGCAGTAATGCTGGCAAGAATAATGTTGTATTCTAACAATGCATTTTTACATACTAGTAGTTGTGTAGCATATTCATATCAACATTACAGTTTACCAAATTTCCTATTTTACATGAAAATTCCTGCCAACTATTTTAATTTAAGAAGTAGAGTAATAAGTAATAACTTGATTCATGTTCAAAACAAAATAAAAAATATATACATAAAAAGCAATGCATTATCCTATATATGTGTGTGGCAAAACACTAAAAACTGATTTTTTTATTTACCTTTTTGACATATGACTTATCAACTGGCAATATAAAAATTTCAAATAATTGCTCAAAAACGAGTAAAGATGTTGAATCAAACTTGTTGACTTTGACAAAAGTTGAACTGATCTTTGTAAAAATTGAGTGATTCTCAATAGAATAGACTACTCAAGGAACATTATAGTGAAAAGGAGTTAAAATGAAAAATATTTAAGAGTAATTGAAACTAAAAATGTAGTTAACTAATAATAATTATCAAATTGGAACAGTAATTGTAACTAGTAGTTAACTATGTAATTTAATTACATAAGTAGTTAATTACTGCCCATCTTTATATCTAATGTAAACAAAAACATATTTAACTATGCCATCTGATAGTGTAATTCAAATGTCAGCTGAACCTGAACCAAAGTGCAACTGATTTTTCTGTGTAACATATTTCTAAATAAGTTAGTTCTAAAGTTTAGGATAAAGAAAAATTCAATGTATAAATACAAATTTTATTTACCCTAAAACTGTAAATTTTCAATGGAGGATTTTCAGGACAATTGGATTAATTTGTATATATATATATATAAATTCATTATCTCATTGATGAAAATCACTCTTGTAACCTAAAATATTCGTTTTTAAATTAACATTGCATTTTATCATTTATTATTAACAAATATCATAGACATAATATATTTATTTTTATAAGAAATAAATAAAGAAATAACAATATAATAAAGTTTAAAAGTTTTTGGAGTTGACAATTGTTACTGATTTTCTGGTGGGTAAAGATGTTAAAATGGAAAAAAACTTCCTGACAAAAAAAAAATAGCAAGCATCAAACATAGTTTATAAAAAATGGATAACATTTTTTGCATTCTATTTTCTAAGGTTTTTATCTATCTATTTAATAGTTAAATCTCACAATAATTATCTATACTAATATTATAAAGAGGTAATGTTTTTAAGTTTGTATGTAGCGGGTAATCTCCGAAACTACTCATCTGATTTCAAAAATTCTTTCACCAATATTTAGAATGGAACTTCAGGGTGGATATAGGCTGTATATTATTTTGTTAAACATTCATATAAATTAAAAGATATCATCTAGGGTTAAGGCTTTTATGTCCAACAGATGATGCTACGAGTACGACGACCTAAGTTTGCTTTTTTATGAGGCATTATGCTTTTCTGTGAGGATGAACTAAAGCAGATCATCTTCTATCTATCTATATAAATAAAAATGTAATGTTCATTTGTTCCTACCGATTCCTTTAAAATTTTGACACAATGCTGCATTCGAATATGCATGTGTTTTTATATAATATACATGTCGAAATTTCCCCCATTGGGGGGAGAGGGACAGGAGTAAGGCTTGCCGTAAAGAACTCTGCTTCTATTTATACTATTTTAGATATGGTTTTTTGCGTTTTTGATTGCGTTTTAATAGGGTACGTCAAGAGAATGTATACTAAGAAGGGATTTTTCAAAAGATCCCCCTCTATGGGGAAAGTGTTATACAATAGATAATAGATACATTTTGAGCCACAACAACGCGTGGCAGGGTCTGCTAGTTATTTATAATTTTACAATGTCTTTGATCACAAAGGAATCTGTAATATTGTCTACTATGAAAATATTTAATGTTTCACAAATTTCATTTTGGAATTTTTTTGAGTTTTTATCAATATTTAAATTAAATTAAATTAGCTTTATCAATTAGGTCAAATACCTTTGCTTAAAAATATGAAAATTATTTTCGAAATCTAATAAAACTTAAAAATATGATTCAATAAGCAAATGATAAAGCCAAATTTATTATTGGGCTATAACTTGGTTGATCAAATATATGGATATTATGTAATTTAGATTAACATGTTATCTACCTGTTGTTGCTAAAATCACTCTCCTAATGCCTTTTTGATGTTTTATATTTTACTTTATTTTATTGTGTACATTTTTCCTTTTTTTTTCCTAAATAAATATTTTGTTTTGTGAGATGAGACAACAATTATTTTTAATTCTTAATCCAGATACCTACTGTTCATTATTAACATTTATTTCTACAAGTATGTTTGTATCAAATGGTCTAGGCCAGATCATGTTTCATGAGATAATTTATAGCAGGCATTCTAAAAAAAACCGTCATCTATCAGTTAACTAGTAGTTGGCAGTCAACATGTTAAATATAAGGAATAAAGTGCAATCTTCAATGAAATTTAATAATTAGAATTAAATAAATTAATTTAGAATATTCTAGAAGAAAAGAGCAATCAGGTGTGGGACTAACTGGCAACTTCTGCTTACTGTACAGATCCATTGTCAATTATGCAACCAGATCTTTATTCAATATTTGCTTCCAGATTTATTAATTCAGAAGACATACCTATACAAGTTATTTATTGCATTAACTGGTGATGACTAAGCACTCAAAGGCCCTTTATGATACTTGGCTGACTTTTACTTACACAGTCTGGCATTGTATATATGTAATCATATAGAAAAATAAAGAGCCATGAGCTTGTAGTTGTTCCCAGTTGGTGTGGCAAGTAACTTGCATTTTTGTTATGCATATTATTAAGATAATTATAGGTTGGTTATTCCTCATTTTTATGCTGAAATAAAACAATGCTTTAACCAAAATCTGATATATTCATAAAAAATTTAATTGTGTAGTTAATTAATATAATTATACCAACTTTTGCTCTATTGTTGAACATTTAACAGTAATTATGAATATCTGAATATAAGCTGACAAAACTTGAAAGTATTTGGGATTGTTAATAAATGATTTTTGTACTGTAATAAAGCAAAAGTTGGTATAGCTACAGTTGACACACTGGAGATTAATATTGTGTTAATTAATGTGTTCCAAAATATATATATATATATGTAAGCATGTATGTGTGTACAATGTTTCTTATATGAACTTTCTGAAACAAGTAAATTACTGTATATTATCTAATTGTCTGTCTTAAAATATTTATCATGCTTTGCCTTGAATTTTTCATTCACTTGGATAAAGCAAATTATAAAAATATCATTGTTTATTTACTAGAGAAACTTTGGAGGAACAGTCTAAAGAATTAGAAAGATTAAGGAAATCTCTTGGAGCTAAAGATGATCAAGAAAAAAAGCATATTGGTAAGAAAAACTAAACAAATCATGCAGCTTGAATATTTGTTTTTAATTGATTAAAAATTAATTTTTGTTAGAATAGTTTTTAAATAAAAACATTCTTAAATTTAATGATTATTATAAATTATGTTTGATGACTAGTAATAAATTAAAATATTTAACATATTATTATTATCAACTATGAAATAGAATACAATAAATAAGTAATCAAAATTATTATTATAGATATTTATAAAATGCATTCAAATGAAAAGGTATTAATAATTGTCTCTAAATTTAAATTCATATACATTTATCAGTTTTAATAGGGAACATGACCACACACTTAAGTAGTTCATAATTACACCATAATGTAAAGTAGTGACATTATATGCGTTAATTAAGACTAAATCAATCAAAAATGTTATTAATACTAATTATTATCTTTTGAAATTTTTTATATGGAGATTATCTTTGCTATAAAAGGACAATATTCAGTCACTAATAATATCTAATAACATAATGGTTTCCAAAATAGAAAGTGGACATATGTCAGAACTGACAAACATTGTGAATCTAAAAGAAATTTCCATGTTTTGTTTAGGCAAATATCCAAGCATCTCACAAGTAGATCAATGCCCCTCATGTAGAAATCTGGTCACTGCTGGTAAAAAAATTCTTTGACCCTATTCTTTACCTTGTCTGACAAATCTTTGCCCTCACAAAGCTTTCTTGAGAGGTCTGAAAATGTGAGTCACATGATAGGTCAGGACTATATGACATGTTCTAGTATCTCCCGGTGGAATTTCTGTAACATGGCAATGGTTGCACTTGCCATATGGAGATGGGCATTGTTGTGAAGCAGGATGACTTTTTGCAAGAAATCCTGGTCATTTTGACTTTATTGCTTTGTGCAGCCATGACAGAGTTTCACAATAGCATTCTGAGTTGTTGATAATCAACTCAGAATATGTTGGTTGACTTTATGTGATTACATAACGTCAACCAACAGTGATTGATGCTGCGGAAATTACAGTGTATGCCTTACCTGGTCTCCATTTATCCTGAATTGACATGCAGCCTTCTCTAACTGTTGCACCAATTATTCACGGCTGTTTGTCCTAAATAATTACCATAAATATGCTTTGTTCATCTGTAGATGTTGGCACTCCTAGTCCCTTCAGCCTCTAAAAATCGAACTACTACAGTTGTTTGATTCTGGATGCTTTCATTGTAACTAACTTAACATTAATCTGCCAGTTACCGGAGATAAAATCTATTCGGAGATAATACTTAATGCAGCCTGCACTTTGCCTATGTTGAGCTTATCCACCCATAAGGTGGCCTACCAATCCCTGCTTTGTATGGTGAAATATGACATGTGTACACTTCATTTGGGCAACCCTTATAGAATGAATACAAATGCAATAGCACTTTTATGGAAAATCGTTATTCAACTTGTTGAAAGAGTGAGATCTATAGCATATACAAATACAGATTACCTATATATGGTAATCATTGCATAACCTGTAAAATGTTTACATCTTCTTTTATTAAAGTTTTGTGGAATATACATATACAGATGATGAACAGCATGGTCAAATATAAGTACAGTCAAACTTCCACATAATGGATTTCCTCCAGGAAATATGGCTAATTTCTTATATAGACAATTCATAAATGGAAAATATACCAGTAATGAAAAGAAAACAGATTATTGTAACTATTTTATTTGCCATGAAAATATCCATGACATAAGTCAATAATAAAACAGTGTTATTTGTGCATTTTATACAAAAAAAAATCAAACAAAATATATTAATATTTTTTATTGAAATTGAGAAAAAAATAATTTGAAATACATATTTTTGTGTATTTATTTTGAAAAGTAACAATAACTTCTGCCTGTAATTTTTTTATTTACCAAATGTTATTTCACTTTAAATGAATAATTCTAATTATTTAAATGATCAAAACTTCTATCTGGAACATTTTCTTGCTGACAGAAACCATTTTTTATAGTTTTAAATGCATCAAAAAGAGTTATTGTTTAAAATTATCATTGGATACAGATGTTTTGACATCTTTAGGAGTATAGTGTAGTAAGCTGCAGATATTGTACTGTTCTTATAACAATGATCAGTGGTATCAGTTGCAGAAATGAATTAACATTTTAATCAATTTTAACATTTATCAATAAAAAAATAAGTTTTTTTTTTATCTGACTCAAAAATTTTCATATAAAAATTAAACTTTATTAAATAGGGACATTTTTTACATCTAAAAATGTCCCTATTTCAATATTTCACAGAAAATTCATTAAAAAGATAAATCTGTAATATGGAAGGCTGACTTCATATGGAAGGTACAGTTTATATGAATTTTACAGGATCTGAAGTACATTGCAGATCACCAATGTGTACTATATTGAAATATTTCACAGCCTCATTCAAAAAATGTATAGTTTCCAGTTAAGATTGATTAATGAAACAATCTGTACTTTTTGTAAATCTTTATAGTTTTGCCCTAGAACAATATTGATAGTATTTGGTTTGTACTTTTTACAATAATGTTTTTTACTATATATGTTAAATTGATTCCTAATTGTACAAAGATGTTTTACTGATGAAAGCTTATCTAGAGATATTTTTGTATAATGTTTTTCAGTTGAAATACTGTTGATTTGCATTCCCTTCACTGCATATACTAATACTGACAACATGTTATTAGTATGTCTGCCTACCATAGCATAGATATTGTAACCAGTTTCTAGTACTAAACAGTAATTTTTGTAATTAGGTACCCAAGTTAATATGTATAATGTATGCATGCCTTTGAGTGTTTCTTATGGCCTCAAAGGCATGCAGTTTTTCAAACTTTTCAAAAATTCATATTAATTTAAGTTTTTCTTTTATAATTTAAACAAAGATGGATTGTTGATGATAAGAATATTAACACCAGTAACACAGTTAACCATTATAGTGCATAAAAATTAGTGAAATGTTGACTTAATATGTGAAATTATATTTCAAATAATGTACATAATAAACAAGAACGCACACAACATAAAAAAACATTAAAATTCCAGAAAATTAATTCCTTAAACATGTAAGTAATTATCAGCTTGAATCATTTTTCAATTTATGGCAAGTATAAAGAACTTCTAATTTATTGAAATAAACTTCAAGGTAAAGTTAAATAAAATATGTAACAAAAACTTATATATACAGTGGTTCCTTATATAACATACACCTCGAATAACAGACGCTGTGAACAACGGACTTTCCGTTCGGCAGTTACATGAGGCAAACAATGGACTTTCTGTGAACAAGTGCAAACGATGTTTCCACTCTTTTGCCATTGCTAGTGACAATTTGTTATTTTTAGAATATATTAGTATTATTAGAATATATTATTAGTATATCTGAAGTACAGAGCACCCGTTGGGATTTGGCTTGCTCCCTTGTTTATTACATACATCACCTCAGTGCAGGGTATTTACATTTATTCAAGTGTTGTGCAAATCATGACTTCTAAAAATCAGAAAGTTGATTTGAATTGAAACAAAGCAAGAAATCATCAGGAGTGAAAGTTGACAAGGACTTCTTTGTCAAATGGGGAGAGGTTTAGGAGTTTACCAACACTCATATCCAAACACAGCTGAGGCCAACAGGATCAATGATCTCTACAATGATACCCTTGCCTGTCATTTCCAACAGGTGTTGAAGAAAAGAGAGAAACAGACCCCCTTGGACATGTTTTTCAAGAAGTCAGCTGCCAAAAAAACAAAGAATGGAACAAGAGGAGTTGACCTTGCAAGCCCCAGTAGCTGCTCCTGAATCTGACTCCAATTAAAAAACAATAAAAAGAGACCTGCTGCAATGTGTGAAAAGTGTGTGTCTGTATGAATGTGTAAAGAAAGGAGGTGGTGGAACAAAAGTTCCATCACCTCCTTTATAATAATGAGATGGAGGTCCCTTAATAACTTTTTCTAGTTTTTTAATATTTTAATGAATTAAGGAAATTTATTAAGGGATGGATTTAATCAGTTTATATTTTTTAAACCTTTAATAATTCAGTGATCCTAAAAATATAGCTTTTTCTAATTAACAATTTTAACAGATGTTGTGAGGAGGAGATGGAGGAACAAAAGTTCCTCCACCTCCTCCTCACAACATCTGACTACCCAGCATAATTGGTGACTGCTCCATTTTCTTTTCTTTTTTATGGTACAGTATGGTTTTTTAATGCTGCGGAACGAATTAGAAATGTATAGAAATGCATTTAACATGTATTTCTATGGGAAAATGTGTTTCGTATAATGGACTTTTCACTTAATGGACATGCATCTGAAACGGATTAAGTACGTTATATGAGGTACCCCTAAAAAATTTTTGTAAAAATCAATTGAAAGTTTTTTTAGAAATGTAAATATACAAGAACCATTTACTGATTTATTTTACTGTTAGAGTTAGTGACTAACTTCATATGTTTTCTTTAAATCTTGTAAGAACATATCTAGTGCAATGATTTAAATCGTCTCATGTGTAAATAGGATGCATTTATTGCTATTTTGCTTTATAAGGTTACATTATTTCAGAATCACTGAACACAGACCATATAACTTATGATTGCACTATCTCTATATTTTATTATAATGTTCCAACAATTAATAGAGATGTTTACTTTTACACTCTTACTTTTCACTTCATGTGTTTTAACTGTCAGTTGCAGAGAGCATGTAATTTTAAGTATTAAAAAAGTAACTTTGAAGATTTTCATTTTAAAAAATATTCAAATTGTTACTCTCTTCTGTACTTGACTTGAATTGTCAAGGTTGGGTCACTGATAGGGTTAAGCAGACCTTAGTATATAACAACAATTGCCAAATTTTAATTTTCAATTTTAAAAATGCAATGTTAATTAGGCAAAATAATGAATTTGAATGAACAATCTATTATACGTCTAATAATTACATATTCATAAATTTTGTTTAAATTTTTATAGAAGAAAATTCTACATATCTTTTTCATATTCCATCACTCAAAAGACTTGCAATTAAAAAATGTTTTTTCTTTTTTATTTCATTCATTAAATAATAATACAGGTATACCTTGCTTTACATCGATAATTGGTTCCAGGAGAACGACGTAAGTCGAAAAACGACGCAAGTTGAATTTACTTGTCTCCTATTTAATCTTTTTTTAATCTACTTGTCACTAGGCTAAACCATAAATTACCATTCCCGGTTCTGTATTTTATTTATTAATGCATCTTTAATAATATATGGTTAATAAAAATCTATTTTAAGCTTACAAACAAATAAATTTTAGTTTTTAATATAGTACAGAAAAAAGTATTCTAAATTTATGAATGCATGTACTGTATAAATACAGAACATACTTGTAAATATTTTTTAATATGATTTTATGTGCTTTAAACGTTTTTATAGTGATATTACAACTTCAATATTTGTGGCGGACAGACGTAAAGTCGAATAGAATGACTTAAACTTCATTTTTATTTTTCCATATACTTTTTTGACAAACGACGTATAATCGGGAACGACGTAAGTCAAGGTATGCCTGTATATGTTTCATCCACTAATACATGTGAAACCCTATTTTTTAATTGCAAGTCTTTTGATTGATGAATATGAAAAATACATACATTGTATTTTCTTTTCTTCAAGAATTCATATAATGTAAATCTCAAGTCATATTTCCACATATTGATAAAATTTTTTGAAATATTTCCTATTGTAAAGTACTATATTATTTTTCCGACTTTCCAACGATTATCGACACTACTGTGTGCCGGAAATAGCCGTTCCCTAACGGGTACTTTACGCGGATTCGCGTTAGTGTGCCAGGCCTGGACTTTAAGCGTGCACCGAATTAAATAATGACAAAGTTTGTCAATAACAAAATCAAATATTTAATTAAACTTCTATTAATAAACTCTATACAGTATTTAGTAAAAATCAAACAATAATTTATTCAATGAAACTCAACAAGAATCAATCCGACAAACTCAAATCAATCTATTTCTAACTTAATTCTATTCCCCTTTGGAATTCGACAAAATCAAAGAATTAACTTATAAACAATAATTCTTATAAATTAAAGATCCTAATCGTCACCTCAATATACTAGGAACCTATTTCCTCAACTCTCAAGACTTTCTATAATCGTCGATCCACAAATCGAATAACTTCAAAATCCTATCGGACACCTCTCTCGTTCACTGCTACGAAGCTCACCAAAGCTCGTTGCTATCAGGAATTCACCTCGTTCGTTTTCACTTGAGTTAGAGGCTTTATAGTGTGAGGTGACGTCACAATTCTGAATGAGCTCACTCTCCTCATTTACATAATTATCTGTAACATTAAATTTTTCTCGTTTATCTGGCAGATTATTTTCCGACAATACTTCGCTAACCTTTTACATTATTCTTTTTAACAATTATCGGGATGCTTTATTATTTTAAGGTTTAGCGATTCCTAACTGGGTTGTGGGGTCTCCCCCCCCTTTTTCTCGGTGCGGACTTACTTTTTTCCGCTTGGGAAGCGCAAGTGTGCGCGAGTTTTTCTACGGCGCTTTTCTTTCGTCGGTGAGTTGGTTTTTCTTCTATTTTTAAGTTACTAAGGTGAATGGTGAGGAAACCTTCGTCTTAACTAAACATAAGCCCCAAACAAAATATAATGAAAGCAAAATAAAAGTAAAATAAAAATAAAGCTCAGACTTGGTTCCTTACACTATATTTTCAAACTTCTCACAATTTTCCTTCACACCCTTATGTGAGGGCAGGTGTTAAATATCTAATATCTAAATTGAAATATGTCTGGAAGTGCAGGATCAGGGTAGCATAACTAGCAATGTGTCCACATGATAAGCTGGATTTGCAGGTTTGAGTCTTACTCTGGGCCAATTCTTTTCTTTCAGAATATTCTAAATTATTTAATAAATATTAATCTAATTATAATTATTAAATTTAATAAGAGATAATGCTTATTTCTAGTACCAAGTTAAATGATACTTAATTATTAATAGTAGCAATAAAGTAGCTTGAAAATCTGGCAGTTGTTTCACTTATTACAAAAATATCAGGTTGTTTTCATTTTAAGACTAGTTTATTAATATGAACATCTAACAAAGTGTAAAAAATTATAAATAAATACATTGTAAATGGTATTATTTACCATTTTTCAATTTTTATTTTAATGATAATTTTGATTGTCATAACAAAAAAGTTTTCATTAATTTTTTCTGGTTTTTTAATATTTTAATGAATTAAGGAAATTTATTAAGGGACGGATTTAATCAGTTTATATTTTTTAAACCTTTAATAATTCAGTGATCCTAAAAATATAGCTTTTTCTAATTAACAATTTTAAATAATTTAAAAATTTTAGTTTGTAAAGTTAATTGTTTAAAAATGAAAATAATAGTTTATTATGAAGAATATTCAATTAAAAGAATTAAGTAGAATAATAAGTATTTATTAATTTAATAATTTTAAAATTAGTTTTCTTATTTATGATTTCTTTTGTGTATACCTGTAACTTCTTAAACTAGGTGATTGGGTACTCGGATAACCAGAGTGTTAGTATCCTGGGTACCAAGCTAGGTAGCATACCTGAAATTCATCACTACCACTTTATATTATGATCAGTTATGAATTACTTGTGTGCAACCATGCCCTGTATTATTATTGATAAATACACACAGCTCTAAACAGATAATTACAGTACCTTTTTCATTTCTTTTACAGGATATTTTGTAAAACTTGTAGATTAGAGTAAAATAATGTGATTTATATAATTTATAATTATTCTTAATTTCTCCTCTTTTTTTCTTTTAATAGAAAAGATTCGACAATTAACAATTACAATTCAACAAAAAGAAAAGGATTTATCTTTTATTAAGGTAATTATATGTACTTCTGTTTTTATAATTAAAGAATATTATTATTTTAAATTATTCTCAAAATGTATTAATTTCATGATGATAATGTATGAAGGTCACTATGACATATAGCTTTATTTATTATATTTTTTTGAAATATTTCCAATGCATTGTATACACTTATCACTTTACAAAATTTGGCAAAATATTTTACATTTTGTCCCATACTGCAACAAACTTGTCACCTGCCAAAAAATGTTGCACTTCTGGTTCTGCCTTTAAAAGTGAAAAAAATTTAAAGTTACAGCTAATTATAAGACTGATATTCAATAATAGATAGGCCTGAATTTTGAAGATGTGTTTGTATTAGCTGAGTATTGTGTCTAATGCAATGCTTGATGCATTGGTGTTGGAAGATGCTGTGTCAAATCCCAAATGAAACCAAAACTCTTTTAATTGGTTAATAAAATTTGGCAATCTAATTTTAGTGTACTATTTTGCAAACAGCTTTTTGTTCTTCAAGTACTACCTATTGCATATCTTGTTTTCTAAAGAAAATTATGATCAACAGAAAATACAGCCCCTCAAGGTAAAAAATATATATAAATATATATTTTTTACCTTGAACAGCATCCCTCATCAGATAAGATGAGGGGATGCTGTTCAAGGTAAAAAAGAGGATGCAATTAAATTTTATTGTACCTTAAAATGCAATTACCATTTGGCATGGGAGAAAACATTTGCTAGTGTCATTAACATTTTTCAGCTGAATTTTTTAGGTTTTTTTTAAATGGTTAATTTAACACTCCAAATATTTAAATACTCCTCCTCAGTCAGATAGCATTGCACAGTCATATTATAGAATACTATTTGACTGAGGAGGAGTTTTTAGATATTTGAAATGCATTTTAAGGCACAATAAAATCTCAATAAAAAATGAAAATATGTTTTTACTTTATTATTAGTAAACTATTGCCATGTTTAAAAAATTGAATGCATTTGAGGGTTCAGATGCAAAAGTAATTTGTTCATTTTTTTTAAAAATTAAGTAAAAAAAAAAAATTTATTTATGATAAAAAGAAAGTGGTATTTAAATAATTAAATCTGACAAAAAAGTAAGATTTCATATTTTTAGAAAATATGATAGCTCAGTGCAAATAATAACATGTCCAGAGCATAGATTTAAGTAAAATCTAAGTTATACATCCATTTATTTTTAATGGACATATTATGTTTTGCATCTGAGCTTCTCATTCAGAAACTATCGATAAGAGAAAAAATAAATTATAAAAAACTCACAACTCACCACACTTATATATCAAACACGTACACTGAACCAATATAATGTGTGGTACGAACGACGAAACAAAAAACAAACGTTTTCGAACCTCTTCTAGGTTCTTCCTCAGGTTCCTTTAGCTTTTTAGCTCGTAAATTCGATATTTCAAATAACTTCGTTCTTGCGATCGAACAGTTCTTTTTTAAAAGATGTGTCGCGCATGCCGTTCAAACTAACGACTGCCGTCAACGAAAGACATTAACGAATGTTGTATAAATAATTTCTTTCTTAAGATCGAACATTTCTTTTAAATTATCCGTCACGCATGCGTGACATGTCCGCTTGCTCGGAAATAACGAGCAGTTAAAGCGTGTTATGTATCAACTCTTGCCAGGCCATCGACAAGATCATCTCCTCTTTAAAATTTATGCACGTGGTTTCGATAGAGGATTTAAAGATGTGCATC